ACACCTAACACCCCCCTCACATCCAGTCTCACATGCTGTTATGCCCACACCTGCTCCCCCTCACACCCATCACCTCAAACCTACATCCCCTCACATTCAGTCCCACATCCCCCCCAGTATCCCACCTCAGACCCACAATACCCCCTCACACCCAGTGCCACACCCCCTTATGCCCACACCTGCTCACCCTCACACCCATCACCTTAAACCCACTTCCATACCCCCTCACACTCCCAATATCACCCCATACCCCCAGTACCCCCTCATGCCCAGTCCCACACCCCCTTAAGCCCACACTTGCTCCTCCTTGCACCCCTCACCCCAAACCCACACCTCCCTCACACCTCACTCCCACACATAACCCTGCTCTTACCCACCCCCTCACACCTCCTGACCCCCCCACATACCCTCAAACCTGCACATCCACCTTCACTCACACCCCTCACACGCTCCCTCAGCTTCACAGCCCCCACACACCCCCTCACTGCCTGATCCCCAACCATTACACACCTTGCACCCCTCCACTCCCTCCCTTTCCCCCTGTGCTCCCTGACAGCACCTCTGGTCATTTCCCTCCTGGACAGGAGTGTGGCCACGCCCCTCATGAGAGGGACAACACTGAGGTGTGTTTGCTCTGCTCAATCATCTCCTTCAGGTGCAGTGAATGCTAGAAACAACCCACCCAAGACCTTCTCCACTACCACACTGCTTCCCATCACCCAGGGCGTGGGTTTACTGGCCTAAATAGGAATGAGAGGAAGCTGAGCCTGAGGAAGTGCTTCCCTCAGGTATGCTTGACGTCTCAATAATTCTGGTCTAATTTCACTGGCTAAAATCCTGTGAAATTTCAAAGCACAGTCGAAGAACCTTCTTGATTTCCATGCAAGTTTAGGACACCTTCACAGAAACACAGACTGGTTGAGGTTGGAAGGGATCTTTGAAGGATGTCTTGTCCAACCCCCTTAACAACCAGGAATACCTGGAAGCCACTTACCCACGATGACTTCTGACATTTCTTTACTGTCTCCAAGGATGGAGTCTCCACAACCTCTCTGGGGCAACCTGTGCCAGCACTTGGTCACTCTCACTGAAAAAATGTTCCCTGGTATTCAGAGGGAAACCCTTGTTCCAATTTGTGCCTGTTGGCTCTTGCTCTGTCACTGCTGGAAAGGGTCTGGCTTTGTCTTTGCACCCTTCTTTCAGGTTGGTAAGACACCCCCCCCTCAAGCCTTTCTCCAAGCTGACCAGGAGCAGCTTGTCTCAGTCTCTTCAGTTCTGACAAAGGTCCTGTGGGGTTCTTCTGGGAGACAGTGGCTCTAATGAAATCCAGGTGGACATTACTCACACTCTCCCATCACAGGCCAGTCAGTTCATCACAGGAGATCATGGGGCTTCTCCAGTGTGACTCCCCTTGGAGCAGCCATCCTGACATCTCCATCACCCTGCTGTGACAGGACTTTCTGATGGTATCCCAGGGACTCCAAGGGTGTTTTGTTAGAATGCAGTGCTGTTACCTGCGAACGCTGTTTACTGCAGGGGCTGCAGTGCTGCTGTTCTGCGAGGGCCTGCTCTCCCTTTGAAAAGGCACTTGCTGCCTCCACAACGTCATCTCGGTGTACAGTAAAAGTCAGCAGGTGGATGCAGCAAACCAAGTGCAGAGGTGGGAGCAAACTGACAGTAAAACCAGCCACCAGCTGCAAAGGGCTGTTTTAGGAGAGAGAAGTTTCCAGGAGGAATGTGAAGGAGATTTGTGCCGTGCTATTTTTTAAAAGTCAGAATCAATGAGAGACCATCATGACTAAGAGCTGGACAAATGGTATGAATAAGCCACTAAGACAAACAACATTCCAAGAGCAGGTTCCTCAGTTACTCTTTAACCTTCTGTTTCAAAAATTAAGTTGGGAGAATGCCCACAGATGTTTTGGTTTTTTTTTCCTGTGGTAAGATTCTAATTATCTTTGTTTTCTTTTCCTCTCTGTACCTCATCCACATTCTTAATACTCAGTCTTTGCCATGCAGCCTTGGAAAGGCATGTGCATTGAACACCCACTCTGCAGGAGGTTACTGCTCTTCTCAGACCTGTTGTTGGGTGAATTATATGAATTACAGAGGCAGTGTACACTTGAATGTCAGCACTCCTGCAGCTGAAAGATCTTCACTTCTGCAGTTCCTGCAGCTCTCAATGTGCTCTTCCTTATTCCTCCGTCCATCCTTGCCTGCATCGTGCTGTTGTGTTTATGATAGCCAACATGAATCATTGACCAAAAAAATAAAAAGTGTATTAAAGCAGCCCTTGGAAGACCACTTTTATGAAGATAATTAGATTTTTTTCTTATAAATGTCACCATGGCTACTTTTGGCTGGATATAAAAACAACTGTTGGTAACAAGTTTATGTTAACAGTGGAGGAGGGTGAAAAACCAGAGCAGGGAACACATCACTGCAGTACAAGTTTTATTATAAAACATAGAAGATGTTTGCATATGCACATGGCATATTTATCACACTCCTTGATATCCTTCTCCTACATTTCACTGAGACTTGGGCTAGATGGATATGTGCCAGGGGAAAGTTTTGTGCTCATAGAATTCTAACATTCATTTTAATTGACCA